ACTGATTGCCTAAAACAATACAGCTGATAACTTACCTGTGTACAAATGAAATCACAGCTGAGCAATTCATGTCTCATCCAATTTGCGTGTATAAAATCGTTTTTGCAATCTGCAGGCCAGTTTAGTACTACACGTGTATTATCGTAACACGTAACATCTGTAAAATGTTCATAGCCAAAAGAAGTCATAATACTTTTTTTCACATTTCCGTTACATCTGACTGACCTCCACTCTACGCTTTTGTTATTCTTTAAAGGTCATCTTTTACTTGGAAATTTCTCCAATAATTTGAGCACTTCACTGAATTATCGCTGCAAAATATCTATCTCATTTTCACTGAAAACAACTGATTCTTATCAGTCATTTACATAATTTTCTGCTAAAGCTTTTGTTTGCGCCCCATATAGCGCAAGCAAACACTTGCGATTTGCTCATATAAATACACTGTCTTATTTTTGCAGTAACGAAATACTTTCATAAATGTGCTCAGAGCTTCATCTACTTTTGTTAATGTACATAAACTTTAACATATTGTTATGGTAGATTATTTCCACTACATTATAGTACTCTAATGTAGCATTCCAATTTACATTGTTGATATTTTCTTGTTTCTTTGGCTGCAATAAAAAAAACACCTTTATAGCGACATAAGTTAAGATTGGCGGAGAATTTCTTCGATTCAGGATGAGGTGGAGTGAACTTGCGTAGCTTATAAAAGTCTCTTCGAAGACGCCATATTCCACCCTTCAGATTAACTGCCATTATTTTATTCAAACTGATTATCAGCTAATTTTAATTTTAAGAAAATCGCAATAATAACTAACAATAAGCAGAGAAAATCGCAATAATAAGTAATTATTGTAAGCAAAGCGTTTAAGGAAAGAAGCACAATCAGAAATAATACAAACTTCAGTGTGATTATCAATTGAGTTTAGTCAAAAAGCTGACGAGTCAGTTCATTGACTCACTTGAGACAAGTCAACTAGCCAGCGCCACATCACGGATTTCGCCTCATTTGAAAATTGGTTCACTTCTGGAGTTGGCTTTGAAGCATCTGAGGGATAATCTGCTTCCGCAGTCAATGGTTCCACTGAGAAGTCGCGAACTTGTGCTTTTATTATTGGCTTTGTACTTGGCTTTGTGATTGCTTTTGTACTCGGTTTGATTTTTTTTCCGAACG